GTGACTAACAAATTAGTCTCAATGACACAAGTTTTGAAAGTACCTTTCTTAGATTCCAGGTAGGTAGGACAATTCCTTTTCCAGTGGCCGGCCTGCTTGCAGAAGTGACAGGCATCGAATGCCTTGTCTTTCTTTTGTTTCTTAGACTTAGTGGCCTTTTTCTGGGGTTTCCTCTTTGCCCTCCTCTTCTTGCCAGATTTGCCAGCTTCAACAAGCATGGCTATTGGCTCATCCTTTCTAATCAATTCCTCGGCCCGTTGCAACATGTTGCTAAACTCTTGAACGCTGACATTCAGATTGTTCATATTTTAATACATTATGAACGGATTGAAGGACGAAGGCAAGGAGTTAAGAATGGCATCTATCTTTGTGACCAGATCCAGCCCGGATCCAAGGGCCTCCAGCTCGTTAATGTAACCCATCATCCGGAGACAATGGTCATGAACTTGCTACCCCTTGGTCATCTGCGCGGTCATGAACTGCTTCAGGACCTTTTGTCGAGTAGAACAGTTCTGCTCTTCGTACATAGTCTTCAGACTATCCAATATGTCCTTGGTGAGTTCGATCTGATCGAATTGCCTCTGTATCGGATTATCCAATGAGGCTATGATATAGCAGCGGGCTAAGGAGTTTTTCTCGGTACCTTGGCATACCCTGAATATGATGGGTGAGCTCTCACTGGACAGAAAGGTTTACCTGAAAATGGCTCTGAACCTTGTTTGATAGAGGCCAAAGGGAAACTCATATGATGAGTGGATATGATCCGTCACAGAAAGGTGGTGGGGTTATGCAGCTGAAATAGTTGGCTCCACGCACCTTATGTGATTTCCCACATTTCCAGAGACATTTCGCCGACTCTGTCATTGAGATAGGAGGGAAATCTCAGAGATGAAGAAATGGAAATGGAGCATAGATGAAAAGCCTTATCTATGTAGGTAACATGAATCAAACTAAGGTTGTGGACTAACGTTTTGCTGTTTTCTCAGAAAATGGCAAATGGAAAATTTGCTAAGTTGCTTGACGACAACAAGCTTAAGGGCCCAAACTATGCCGACTGGTACAGAAACCTTATGTTGGTCCTGACTTCAGAAAAATTATATAAAGTGGCAAAGAATCCTGCACCGGATCATCCGGGAGATAAGGCTATAGAATTCCGTAGGAGGGAATGACACAGTGATGATGGAGCCGAACTAGCAGTGTTCGTCCCACGAACCAGGTTCTTATGAAGAACTCGATGGAAGACTGTGAGCACTACACGAACAATCAAGAACCTTTCTTGATCTTCTCTAACTGAGAACTCAAACTAGCAGAAAAGGTGGCGGCGGGTGCTGGAGGAGAATGCTAGAGAAGAAGATGGCAAATTGCTATATTCTTCTCTAGAGTTATCTGAGATCGTATCTCAAGAATGCAAGGTGGTCTGCTGAAAACACCTAGGGTTCGAATTCAAGTAATTCGAATTAGGGGCTTCCTCCTCTTTCTTAATGATTAAGAAAACCTCCTAATCATATCAGAAGTTGCCCTTATCCAAATCTATATTTGGATTAGAACTCCTCTTAATCTTATATGCAGATTAGATAAGCTTTTGGGCTTAACCTAATCTCAAATCCACCCCTTTAAGTGACTGATCAAATCAGCCCAGATCGAAATGGGCTTTAGGCCCAATATGTATTAAGTGCTCAATAGTCTTCCAAACTACTGCTCAGTTGGGCTTCTTTGTATGGCATGGGACCCTAGCATTGATCTAGACACCAGCCACATGGGTTCGGCCCAGCCTCTGTTACAAGGCCTAGCCGAATTCATTGGAAATCCTAGTGAACCCCTTGAGCCCATCACATGGACCCCATGGGCCCAACACTTACACTAAGTGGTCCCTGGGCCAAGCCATCTTATAAAAACCCAGGGACTGTGGGCAGATGCAAGATTAGTCCATCAGGTATTATCCTAAATGGCCTTACACTTAACCTCTCAGCCCATAATGATCA